AGTTTCGTTCTTAACGTACGAAAGATTTTGATTAAAATCGAAGTTTTAATCCGCTACACTAATTCACCCCCCCCTCTTAGTGCCGCTCCGATCCTAACAATCTTCTCCTTTTCAAGTGGTACCACTCGTACCGGTCTTATCGGACCAATAGGTACCACCCATACCAAGTGGTATGTCTCGATTCGACGAACCCTAAATATATATATATATATATATACATATATATATATATATATACATACATATGTATATGTATATGTATATGTATATGTATATATACATATGTATATGTATATGTATATATCTATGTATATGTATATATACATGTATATATATATATATATATATATATATATACATAAATATATATATATATACATATATATATACATATGTATGTATATGTATATATATATATGTATATATGTATGTATATATATATATGTATGTATATATATGTGTGTGTGTCTATGTATGTATATAAATATATATATATATACGTATATATATATATATGTATATATGTATATATGTATATATGTATATACATATATAAATACATATACATATATATACATATATATTTATAAATTTATATACATATACATATATATATAGACATTTATACATACATATATACATATATGCAGCGATTTAAAAAGGCGCTCGAGCGCTCGCCTAGGTGCTCGGGCGAGGCGAGGCGAGGCCCAAGCACCTCGCTTCACTTCCAGGCGACGCACTTCAAAGAGGCGCCACTTGGGCGCTCACCCTAGCCCAGGCGCTGGGCGCTTCGGGCGAGCGCCTGGGTTAAACCAGGCGACCGAACCAGGATTTTAGGTCTGGTTCGGTCTCCGATGGTTAGTTGGTTCAATCGAACCAACTAAAATCGATATCAGCTGTCGCTGCCCAACCCTAGCCCTACTCCTTGCCGCTCCCGCTGCTCGCCACTCTTGCTACCGCTCCCGCTGCCGTTACTCGTTGCTTGCTGTTGCTATCGCTGTCGCCGCTCACCGCCCCCGCTCTCGCTGTCGCTACCTCCTTACACTCCCGCTGCCGCTGCCTCCTTATACTCCCGCTGCCGCTACCTCCTTACACTCCCGTTGTTGCTGCCGCTACCGCTTCCTCTTTTCTCTATCAACACCCCCTTACACTCCTCTTCCTTCTTCTCCTTCTGTATACTATTAACAGTATATTATATATTGTTAACAGTATACTATTTTAAATATAATTATTTAAAATTTTAAATAATTATATTTATTATTTATATTATATATTTTTATATTTTAACGCCTCGCTTTACTCGGGCGAGCACCCAACGCCTTAGGCGTTTTTGGACCTTAGCGCCTTTTGGCGCCTAGCGCTTTTTAAATCACTGCATATATGCATACATATATACATACATATATATATATACATACATATATATATACACATATATTTATATATACATATATATATATATATATATACATACATATATATATATACATATACATATATTTATATATACATACATATACATATATATATATATGTATATATATATGTATACACATAATTATACATATACATATACATACAAATGTATAAATATACATATATATATATATATATACATATGTATATATACACATATATATGTAAATATATATGTTTATATGTATATATGTAATGTATATGCATATATGTATATATATATATGCATATGTATATATGTATATATATACATATATATACATACATATATATAAATACGTATATATACATATACATACATATACATATATATGTATACATATACATATAATATTTATACATACATATATATATACATACATATACATATAATATTTATACATACAAATATATATACATACATATACATATACATATGCATATACATACATACATACATACATACATACATACATGTGTGTGTGTGTTCTAAGTTCTCACTCCTAACAATGCACCCACCTCAAGCTTGTGCAACAAAGTAATCAACGAAAGGCTATAATACACTATATTACCTATATAGTGAGAAAGAGAGGAGATGGAGAAGTAACCAGTGTAAGGTTATGGAGGAAGGTGGGGGAAAGGGCAAAACCAGTGGCGGACGAAGCTGTAGATGACGACGGACGAAGTTGCCAACAACAAAGCACGAAGTGGACAAAGCTATAGTGACGAACGAAGTGGTAGGGTTTCGTTGGCTGCTTTCACTAGGTCAGGCGTGAGGGAGTAGGTGTTATTAGTTGGTTCGATTGAACCAACTCAGTTGCCCATGCTCGAACCCGAGCTGAGCCACGACCAATTTGGCTTGAGCGCACACTCGAGTTGCCCACTGCCTGAGTGGCGCTTCATTGAAACTCCTTGCCCTGAGGTGTTACGAGGCACTTGGGTTTCGTCTCACCTCGCCCAAGCACTTAGGCAAGCACTCGAGCACCTTTTAAAAGCACTGCTATTCACCCAAGAATTCTGTAGACTTTATCTCAGCCTCTGTTATCTCCTTTGATATATCTAGTCCTCTTTCTTGTCCCTATATCAGAATCAATTGAAATGTTAGACAATGCTTCATAATACTACAGGAACCATAGACATGGTGTTTCAGACTCAAAACCTACGACAACAGTTAAACATCAGATCGGACTTATACAAGATCAAATCTAATTAGTAAAACCTTCTTAGAAAGTTTTTTTTTCCATCATAACAAAACAAACACTCAACAGAGACTTTTCATGGAATCCAGACCCTGCACTTGACTCCAACTAGATTAAACTTTTTTTTGCTATTGTCTGATCACATTATCCAAGCAACAACGGAAAGGAAACACAAGTTTCACGATCACAATTGCAAAAATATTAGAATTAGATATTCAAAGAATAAAAAATTTGAGTACGAAAGCATAATATTTAGCAAGGATACCTGCCCAATCTCCACAGCTTCAAGCAGCCTTTCTTCTGTGAGAAAGTTACAGTAGCCCTACAAAATGGAAAGCTATCACTTCCAGGGGCTGACTTATATGAACATCATCGATCATTAATTCAGGTAACACGCTATTTTGCCATATGCATTTTAATTCAGCTAAAAAGAGAATACAACTAAATTGAAGAGATAGGTGCAACACTTGATACAATAAGCACTTTGGCATGAGAATTAGGACATATTTCTTTCAGTTTCTTTCACCGCATAATGCATCAACTCAGGGAATGATATCAACATGAAGACAAACAATAAAAAAGCGATGTTTCATCCAAATCATAGCTGGAAAAAGAATATCAAACTTAATATTTTGTTTAGTACTCTTGTATAATGATCATTGTCTAATATACATCACTTCTGATTATTTCAATAATTTCTCCCTCGTTCTGCAATTAAAAAAATGGAAAGAAAAATAATAAAGAATTCCAACCACATCAATCTGAAAAATATAACCATGGTGCCAACCGCCAAGATCACCCTCAAGCCCAACAATCAAGTTGCTAGAGCTATTTGTATAAATCAAAATGTATCACCACCAAAAAGACAGTTTAGAACCACAGCAGGAAAAGCTTGGCTTACACAGCAATAAATTAATGCCTTAACGGGTGCAACGGAAAACATAAGTACCATAAGAGCGAGGCTACTACAAGTAGGTTACTAGGTTTATTTCATATTGATGGCACCACTGGGGTCAACCCAGTGGGGTGTATGAAGTAAAACGTTGGCAACAAATTACTACAATCTCCAAATGATATGCAGTTTGATTGATTCACCCCAACAACTTTAAGGGCTAAATTCATGTTGATCTGGACAGTATCGACATAAATCTATTCTAGATTTGCAAGGATATGTCAGATCAAACAAAACTAGACCAAGTCCATGAAGGTCTAGGATTGTAAAAAAGTGCCTTGCAATCTAAGCTAGATCTATTTCAGGTGATCGTATAGAAAAATATAAATCCTTCAACCAAAATCTTCTGATCAAACATATATTTTTCATGCTTCAATTAGTAAGATTTATCGGATGATCAACTTCCACATAACACACTGTTATGGGCCTATAACTAGCGCCTTGGAACCATGAATATAGCTAGTTAATGGTTGTACTTTCATAAATTTTAAGTGAAATCCATATTGTAAACATACAATAATCCAAACGGTTCACATATAACAGTCATCTATGAGACATACAAACTCAAATTGCTGCTACCAATATATATTCTCACTAATATGCATATCAACTATTATATATTTTTTTTTATAGCAAAATGAGAGTGAAATACTTCCGTAAATCAAATGGTATTAAGAGTGAACCTCTATCATCAATATGGCACTATCAGTCCCTGCAATTATCAAGTCCAATTCTGACTCTTCCATCTCTTTGGTAGTTGGATTGACGACAAACTTTTCTCCCACCAAACCAATTCTGACACCAGCAATTATTTTTGTGTAGGGTACTTCTGAAAGAGCTCTGCATTTAAGTGAAATATTAGCCAAATTATTGCCACAATTTTAATCAATTATACCATGTTGAAGCAGTAAATAGCATGTTTAGCATCCCCGAAACTAGAAAATAAAAGATACAGAGAAGTGCATTAGTACACTCACACAGCTATGCCTGCTGCTGTGACAGCTAAGCAATCAGGGGAATGAATGCCATCATAGCTAAAAACCTACAGATCAAATATATATTTAACATGCGATGACATTGCAATCTCAATCTTTAACATGAATTTACTTCATTAGCACAAGAAGCAAGACACAGGATTAATAGAAAGTCACTATTAATGGAAATGATATAAATTGAAATATCTAATAGCGAAAATATAGATATCATAACATCTGAAAAGAATTTGTCAAAAAGAAAGTAATAGATTGAATGACAGAAGATAATGACAAGAATGAGGAAGCATCACTCAGTTGGATGCTTCCTATAAGCGCACTGCCTCTTGAAGCAGCTAGCATTATCCTTCATACCATATAGGGCTGCTGAGAAAAATTACCATTGCTATTGTCAACAAACGTCCAGAAGTTTTGGACCTTTTTGAAAAATGTACTTGGTGAGAGACATAGGAGTAGTTGAAGAAATAAAAAAGGACAAGAATAGCAACAATTTTCCAAATAAATTTTCTCTGGAGGTTGCTCTAGAGACAGGGGTGGTAAGTGAAGATTTGTTGTTCCAAAAGGATGCATTAAACATTCAATCTTTCCCAATTAGCTTCATCTATGTGAAAGTAAAGAAACACAGTTCCATCTCCATGCTGTCAAGAGATCATATGATCTTGGACTCCTTGTTTTCCATGCCTAATGCATCAGGAAACAATGCAGATCACTTGTAAGCGACAGTGGGTTGATATAGATATTTACAAGTGTAAAACATTGGACATGCAGAACACTACTAAGCCAGGATGCTGAAACCGACTATACCACTATACATAGACTGTAATTTATTAGTGCACTCGCTCACCATTATGAGAACTAGGCAATTTTACCTGATCCAGTTCAATACCAGAAGCAAGGTGCACTAAGGTTACACGTATTGGATGTATCATTCGATAAGATTAATGGTACCATGCAGAACCATATGATCTCTCAAATATTCATTTTCCTCAAATTTAAATTCAAGATCAAGCAAATCAAACTCCAAAGGTAGGTAAAGCTAATATTCAATTTTTTCACTTAGTTTTTTGTTAAGTGAAGCTTTGTCCTTCCACTTTCTCCAAAAATTAACTGTGTCAAAGTTACTATGTAAAACGATCTCATATCCCTTGACTGATTATGATTCTTACCATCAGGAGAAGATTGGATATTTCCCCTAAATCTTATCATACAGAGGGAATTTTACATCCCTTGATTTGTGTGAATCCCACAATTAATGCAATTGATTTGATTGCCTTTCACCTTATAAATAGGGTTGTGATATACACAGCAAACCCTAAACCCAGATTCCCAAAAAGGACCCTTTTATAACCCCAAACCCTCGGATCCAAAACAAACTGTGAAAAATAGAGTCAATGTGATATATGTAGTTCAATCAAGCAATGGAACCAGAGATTTCCAATGTTTCCAAGTCTTTTTGTTTCTGAAAGTTATATTTCTAAGCCTTTTCTTTTCTGAAAAGGCCTTTTCTTTTATGAAAGTTCTGCCTTTTCTTCTAGAAGTTCTGTTTCTGAGCATTTTCTTTTTTGAAAATTCTGTTTCTAGCCTTTTCATTTCGGAAAGTTCTTGCTGTAGTATGGAAGAACTAAGCAAGCTTGGATATGTAACAGGTAATCTTTCGGATATGCTTTAAACCAATTATACCACTTGATCCACCCAATAATTCATGCAAAATGGGCCAACAGACTGAAACAGAATATGCAGGTATTAAAACATGTATCAGTAAGGAACTTTACAAACAAAACTGCTAAGTTTTCAGACTAAAATAAAGACTGACAAAGACTCAAGAATTAGACGCGAACTTCACATATGAAGACTCTTTAGAACATCAATGAGCTATTGATAACCAGCGTATGGTTTCTGCAAGCCAATGCCTTTACAACTTAAGGCAGGGGATATTTATAAAGTTTACAGAAGACTAAAGGCGGTTACAGATATTTTCTGGACCTAGACGGCTATCATCCTTGCAATGATGAGTTGGTTGTTTGTTTGCATCGGTGGAATTGATATCTTATCTTCAAGCGTCGACCGATTTAATATCTGTCGCCTTGCGTCAGCAGTGTTATACAGGTGGCAATTTTTGTAGTTACATGTGGCTTTCATCCATCATCTCGGCGTCAATCATCTGTTGCGCCAGCTATTGTAACTTATCATGGGATTGATCGGGATTCTCTGCTTCCAAATATTCTTCATTATTTTCTTCTTCATTAGTCAGATACTCTTCATTGCCTTCTTCACGATCTTCGTTATTTTCTTCATTATTTACAACATTTCCCCATTCCCAAGTGGTCCTGTCCCATGGTGTCTCTCTTTCATGATGCATTTGTAGGTCAATTTCAAATATAATTTCCTGATTAACTTCCTCGGTCCTTGGTATAAGTTGTATCAAACAGTAATTTCAAAAGGCACTCAGGTGCTCGCCTAGGCACTCGAGCGAGGCGAGACGAGTCAAGGCCGCAGCACCTCAGAACTATGTTGGGCAAGGCATTTGAAGCAAACGCCACTCAAGTGTGTACCGGCCCGACCCAATGTAAGGAAACGGAAACCCTACCACGAGCGCCTCTGCCCTATGCCACCGGATCGTCAAGCTTCCTTCACACTACTCCACCAGACCATAAGCTTCCTCTACTCTATGCTGCCATGCTATGAAACTCCTCCCCCCTACGTCGTCGAATCGTGAGTTTCCTTTACCCTACACCACTATCAAACCACAAGCTTCCTCTGCTCTATGTCATCGGGCTGCGAGCCTCCTCCACCTTACACTGCTGAATCACGAGCTTCCTTTGACCTACGTCACCGAGCTACGAGCCTCTTCCTCCCTACAACACCGAACTGTGAGCCTCTCCCCTTACGTCGTAGTCTGCAACTTCATTTCTTCAACATCTGAGATTATGTCGTCAACCAATCTCGTTTTGCCGTCAATTGCCACTATCCTCCCCCGACCCTATATTTTGACCAAGTTACTTTTGAGACGACTTTGTTGGATTATCAATTTTACTAATATGGATGACACTGTTTGCTGCACTTTATATAGAATTTCTTCCATGTCCTATTTTATTCTCTTTATTGAAGTTTTCTTTTCATCTTTCTCTATTTTAAATATTGCTCATATTTTTAAGCTATCTCTATGTGGAGAGATTGATTTTGTTTTGTTGGTGGTTTGGATTTGTGTATACAGTACCTCTATATAATCTTTGATATCTGTTGTTATTTTCTACAATGTAACATGGTACTTTATATAAATGTGTCATTTTTATTTTTGTTATCATATTTATTAATCATAATATTTTTTAAAAAAATGTGAATATTTGAGAGCGCCTAGCGCTTTTGAAAACACTAAGATAACATCAACAATAATAAAGCTATAAGTCCTAACTATTTGAAGTCGGCTATACAGATCTCTTGCCACCCTTGAGATCTGTAAAAAGCTATATGTTTAGTTAAAGTTCAAAGTACTTAAATCTTTATTTATGGTTTGTATTAAAATCTTTTTATGTCTTCATTTACCTCTTCGCGTACTACTAATATTAATAATTTCACCTCTTCTGACTATCACATCTGGATGTCTCCTAAACACACGCCTATATCTTAAATGATTTTTTCTCATCTTATCATCTCACAACTGTCTTATAAAATTTTTCTTTTAATCTCAAAGATAGCTGACGAACATATAAGACGCCTGACACCCCTCGCCATTTTAACCATCATATTTTTCTTCTATAAATAATATCTTCATCGATCTCTTTATCTTGTTGAATAATGATCTAAGATACCTAAAGCTTTTACTTAAAGGGACTTCTTGTCATCTAACTTAACTATATTCTCCTGACTATTTCTAGAATCACTAAGATTGCATTTTATATATTTAGTTTTAATCCTACTTACTCTAAAACGTTTAGTTTAGCTTAAGCTTATAATTAATTTTACTTGAGCTCTCATCAGCTAAGACAATACCATCAGCAAATAACATACAATTGAGAGGTCTATCATGTAAGTGACTAATAAATTCATCCATCATCAAAGTGAAAAGATAGGGACTTAATACTAGGTTTTTAATTTCGAATAATACTACCCGATACAGGCAATACGTACCGGTATGCGGACCGCCCGCTACTTGGTGGAACGCTCAATAACACCCCGTATCGGACGATACGAGGGTATATCGAGCGGTAACAATCGAAATTTTAACCATTACCATCTGGCACAGCTCGGTAACGGTTGATTTCAACCATTACTGCTCGGCACAGCTAAGTAACGATCGAAATCGACCGTTACCGATCTATAACAGTACTCCAACGATCAAAATGACCGTTGGAGCTCTTTCTCATGGGTTTTTAAACTCATCTTCTCCCCTATTTCATTCCATTTCACTCTCACACTCTCCCTCAAACTCATTTTTTCCCACATTTGCACTCTCCTAAACTCTACAAAGCAACGATTTGTGAATTGAATCGAGGCTAATTTGGAAAGATTAAGAGGAAGAACTTTTTAATAAAGAGGTATGTATTCTCTTTCTTTAATTAGAGAGTAATTAAGATCTTTAAAATTATGATTAGTGTGTTTAATATTGATTAATTCGAAATTAGACACTTAATTGGTCAAATGTTTATATTTTATACATATTAAATATTAAAAGATATTTATGATGGTAAATTAGGTTTAATTAGGTTTTATTAAACTTATTTAATACTACAATTACTGATTTTAATGATGATTTAATCGAAATATAATCGATTTTGGATCAATTCAATATTTTTAATACATATTAAAGTGTTTGACATGTTTATAGTGTTGAAAGAGAAGTAATTACTAGGTAACTAAATATATTAATCATATGATTAGTGTATTTAATGATGATTTCATTATAATTTGATGTATATTAGATCAATATTACATATTTAATGTTTCTTGTATATGTTTCTACATATTTTATGTATGGTAAAATAGG